AGTGTGCACCACGGCGGAGGGGATGGGTGGTGCAGGGCCTGGCTATGAACCAGAGAGAGCTGTGAGAAATAAATCCCTTTTACCCAATCTGTCCTTCCCCTTGTCTTAACTTTGGTTTCACCAGATTCATAAGGGACTTGTTCTGGGAGGGGAAACCCCCTTCCATTCAGAGCTACAGCAGCATAGGTGACCACCTGGACGTTCTATTGGCATCTGAAGAGGAAGGGAGGGACAGTCTTGCATACGACAGCCTTTTACCTGTGGGATCTGATGTAGTCTCTAGGTAGACAGTATCCAGTATCAGCAATGAGCTGAATAGTATGACAACTAACTGGTGTTGAAGAATTGCAAGGTGGTGTGGGGAAACACTAGCAACCCCCTCCAGGTGCCCCCAACCCCAGCCTTGGCCCCCCAACAGGTGCAAGAGTGCACATGCATGTGCACACACATATATACACACACAGAATTGAGTGCAGAATCTGAATTGGGTGCAGAATCGTCACAACTTTAGACAATATCCAATGCATATCCTATGAATACTTAACATTTAGATGATTTATACTATTCCCTTGACTCAATATTTGATAAATAAATTATTACTGCTTTTAGTTGTCCCTTTGGTAAGAGTTGTAATGTCACAGATTTAAACATCACACTCAGGAATGTACTTTTTTAGCAATGAATATTCAACATATCTCATAATTCTCAAAATTTTAAAGTAAATATAGGTTCCTCTCTATTCTTCTTCATTTTATTCTCTAATATTAAAGTTTTCTGACAGTGACACTCACAATTTTATATTTTTAGACCACTAATTATATTTTTCCTAAAATCATAATAAAATAAAAATAAAAATTCTGAAATCACTGTTTCATTTTCTACCACCATCCAATGTAGCTATTGGAAAGTGTAATTAGCAGTTTAGATTAAATTAGAAAATGTTCCATAGATTACTGTGCCCTGGTTACCAATCCCAGATAAGGACTCTCAACTTCTGAGTGAAGAATTTTGGCAATTCAGAATTGAGTGTGAAGCCAAGGGCAAGGAACAAGTAGCTTAGCAACTATCCACATTTTTACTACTGTTAATTTTCAACAAAATGCTATTATTCCATTTAGTGTTTTCCTGGATTTGCTAAATGGAAATTACTTTGAGAAAACCCTGCTCAAGTGCTTGCTTCAGCAGCATATATACAAAAATTGGAACGATACAGCTTAGAATGATCCTTGTGCACGAATAACATGTAAATTTGTGAAGTATTCTATATTTTTTATTGTTAATTGTGTCCAGTTTTTGTCAAAGTAATACAAATTTTTGGAAACAGATAGTAATGATGGTTGTGAATATAATTAACGCTACAGAATTTATTCTTAAAATTGGTTAAATAGCTATATATGTGTGTGTATATACATACATATGCCTTTAGTAAAAATACACATATATATTTTATAAATATATATACCTTTATATACATACAAAGACCATGCAAATAAATGTACTAAAACAAAATGTAGTTGATCTGTACAGGTTTCATGATCTCATATCATTGTTCCCTATTCTCCTTACTCTTTTATAAGGCTCCCATCTTAAGGCTGAACAAATGTAGCATTGATTTACACATGGAATATATTGAAAAGGAAATAATTAATCTGTAATCAAAGCCGTGGTAGTACATGGGAGGTTAATAAAAAGAAATGCCCTAGTTTGTGGATATCAGGGTATGGCCATGGAGGAAAGAGAAAGAGAAATAAGTTCCTTTGGTGGATTTGATCCTGCCCATAATCAGGTACTCACAGTCCTCCGCAGGTTGCCGTGAGTCCTCAATGGATGATGGAGATGCTGGCTTTTATTTTGATTGCAGTGAAGAATCTGTTTAGTTTCCTCACCAGACCCTTTTCTCTTCCTGTATTAGTTCTCTTCTGGTTTTTACTGTTTCCTTCTTCATTTTGCTAATGGTGTTTTCTCCCTCTCTATTTTTTTCTTTTTTTTAAATCTCACAGGGTCATTTTCCAAAATAATATTTCTTGTTTATATGTAAGTTGTTTTACAGTTTAATCTGCTGGAATGTTTGAACTTTATTTCTGAATCTCTTGCCGTTTTGCTAGAACTGCCCCCTCATCAGCTTCACTTTTCCTACTCATTTTGCTCTAGCACCAAAATATCTTTTACTTCTGTGTTTATAAAAATGGAGTTTGACACGTTACCATCTTTTAATTTTTATTCGTCCACAAATAATGAGATAATTCTAGAACTGTTCTAAACCCAAAAATATGTTTACTAAACACAGGATTGTTTATTCTTTTAAACTGCTCTATAGAGTATCACCACCACTTTCAGAAGGTGCCAGCTTTAGTATGATAATTACTGCTCTCTTGCATGGGCACCTAAGGAAGGTTCATACTGTACCTGCTTAATTACCTGAACTCCTCCTACTAAGTCTATGATGTCAGAACAGAATGTAACCAGAGTAGCGACATAGTATTGGAGTAAGAAGAATAAGGTTTTAGTTCATAGCTTTCTATTCTTTATTTAGAAGATCTTTCTGATTTAACTCTGTTAAATACAGTATAAGTTTGCTGTTAATGACATGGGCCTGACCTAACTACTCCAGTAATCCTGAGAAATAAATGAAATCTTATCTTTGAAATAATCCTGTAAACTGGGGAAATAATTATTATAAATATTATTTTGGGGGTTTGAAAGTTACAGTAAATGGATAGGATTTGGGGAGATTCAGCACTTCAATGAGAACACATGAAAAAATTCATACAACTAAAATGGAATTCATTAACAAGAAAAAACTATCTGTGGAGTAGTACTTTTTCTCTATACTACCAAAGTTTCACTTGTTTCTTGTCATCATTTTCCACTCTTATCTCCTCAAAGAAAAACAGATATGAATTCTTCTGATAACAGGAGCTGGTTGTATCTAGTGAAATTCATTACTCCTTTGATTCTTACATGGTTCCTTACAACTCTTAAGTTGTCATCCGCTTGTCATGCCCATTTTTTTTCTGCAGACTAGAGCGCTCTGATCTGTACTTTGATTCCACATTCATTTCTTTGCTGCCTCCTGTTTATCATGTTGAAGAAAATATTTTTTCTGGTACTTTAAGATAAGTGAATTCAGGGTTTTGATGGTACATGTACAGAAATATTGTACTATCCAGTATAAAATTAGTTTGATTAAGTAGAAAATTCAAATGATGCTAAAATATATAAATACATAATTATTAAGGGGAAAGAGGCAAAAAAAGAAAAAAGATGTACCATAATTCAAAGATTTAAATCTGTGTTTTGTTTGGTGTTATTTCCTCAGTTGTTACAGAAAATATTGCAATAGGTCTCACATCTACTATTTATGCATTGTGAAGTTGCCCCCAAGACCTTTGCATGCCTTATTACCCTTATTGAGCAAGGCAAGATAATAGTTGTGTTACTGTTGTTGGGGAGGAAGAAATTTCCTCTACCCCTGAGGTTCTTCTACCTGGTCTAGGAGTCAAATTGACATGAGACAGATTAACAGGAGGAAAACACAAAGTTTTAATTCCAGACCTACAGGGAAGCAGCAGACATGGGTTCCAAAGATAATGAGAATGAGGTATATATGTCATCCTGAACCCAGGAGAAGGGGGTAGCTGTCTGAGACTTCAAAGGAAAAGGAAGTAATTCACAATAATATGAAAAGAGTAAATATTTGATAAACAAACTACTTCATGGGCCATACAGAAAAATGGAGCAAAGAGAGAAATTTTAACAGACTGAACCACATTCCTCCCAGGCTACCACACCTGGCTTACATTATAGTCTAGCTGTCTGTTGTGATGGCCTTCTTCCTGGAGTAGTTCCTCTATGTGGTGGGTGGTGGGAGGTCGAAATTTCTTTCTGAATTTCTGGGGTCTTGATTGTCCTCAACTTTGAAATAATCTACATGTCACAATGGCACATCTTGGGGCAGTCTGCCCTTGGTGCCTACACTGTTCAAGAAAAAATATTCTCCCAAGATGTAATTTTCTTGAGCTTGATTATCTAAGGAAGTTACTGAATGCAATATACTCAGCACTTATTTTGTGCTGAGCACAAAACATTGCATTTGGATTTCTGGGAAAATTTCAAACATATTCCCATGACCAGGGGTGTTTTGCAATTTCACCCACATCCCCATCAATACTTGGAATTACCAAATATTCAAACTTGACAGTAATGAAGTATAAAGTGATATATTGTTGCTTTAATTAGCATTTTTAAATGCCAATGATTTTGAGCACTTCCTCATATACTTGTTGACTCTTTGTTTCCTGTTCTGCAAATTGACTATATATATATATATATTCTTTACACAGATACATTTTATTATATATATACACATATATATTCTTTATCTACTTTCATATATGGTTTTGGTATCTTTGCTGTTAATTTGAAGATATTTGTATATTTTAGATAATAATCCATTTTTTCTATTAGACATCTTTAATTCTGTTCTCTACCTTTTAAAATTCATGTAAGTTCTATCCAATCCAAACTCTAGGATTTTTTAAGAAACCTGAAATTTTGTTCTAAAATATATAGAGAAGTATAAGCATGCACAATGAGCCAAATCAATTTTTTTTAAATGGTAAAAGTGAGACATACTGTAATAGACTGTAATTTAAGTCAAATGTTTTAAAATATGACATGTATAAGCACACACAGATAAACAAACTAAAAGAATAGAGACTTAGAAAAACCACTGTAGGGAAAATGGAACTTTCTGACCAGGATTTCTGACTGACCTTAATAATGTTCATTGTATCCTGTTTGCACATCCATGGGATGTTTTACCAGGTAGAGAGCAGCTTGTCAATCACAGGATTGCCGGTCCAGGGTAGGGTGGAGAGGAAACACCCATTCTCTCCTCCCCTCCATTCCTGGTACATAATTGGACAGGCATCTGCCAATCACCAGGGATCCATCCACAGAGTTCCTCCCAGTGCAGGAGTGGGGGCCGTGAGAGCCGCTGGGGAGAGGTCTGCGTAGCCCTGCGAGACGGTTTCCAAGCAGCATGGCAGAGAAAGCCAGACAGCCAGGGTTTGGAACTGTGAGAATGGGGAGGGAGTTAAGAGAGCCACTGGTGTGAGCCAAGAGAGACTAAGCCATGAGAATAAACCTCTTTAATCCCCAACTTCTTGCCCTTGCCTTTCTTTAGTCTTACAGAATTCATAGAGATCTTGCCCCAGGCAGGGAACCCCTCCTCCCAGAGACACAACCATAATGGGCCTTTTATACATGGCCATTTCATACACAACAAAGTGTTACTATAAATCATTGAGGAAAGGAGGAGAGTTTAAGTAAATTGCATCAGGAAACCTAGCTCCCCATACAGAGAACAAGAAACTTAATCAAACATGACATACAGGGATGGAAGCAAGATGGACTGAATATTTAATTTTGAAGGTTAAACTGTAAAGTTAATAAATGAAAACTTTATTATGTCCTAGAGGCAGGAAAGAAACTTCTTGCATAAAAATTTTATAGAACAAATGACAGAGCAAAAATTGATAAATTTGGTTACATCAAGATAGAAGATTTTTCTTTAGAAAAGTGTTGTCATTTATAATTTTATTCATTACCAATACAGAGTGCAAAATATATTTTAAAATGTATACTTGAAATAACAAAAATATACAATGTATTGAAATAATATGTGCAAGAAGTTTATGTGAGAATAAACTCAATATTTTAAAGATATTTTTTCTTTCTAATTTGATTTCTAAATTTATTTTAATAAAATTCACAATTTTGTGAAGAAGGGTCAATAAGCCCTTTCTAATTAACTCACACCCAAGAATATGTACATACCTCTTTTAAGAAGGAAAATAAAGCATGAGGATGTGTCTCCTAATTATTAACATTTGTAAGAAAGCTAAAGATTTAAATATACATATATTGGGACAAAGAGAGCAAAATTGATCACTTTAATAGAATGGAGGTCCTAGAAATTACCCCCAGACATATAAGCACTTGATTATTGAGAGAACAGGAGTGACCATAACTGGAGGGGGGAAATTATTATGTTCCAAAAATTGTAGTATTATTTTATAAGACACATCAACTTATAAAACTGTTATGGAAAACTGGAAAACCTGGCCTGGATCACTGATAGAAGAACCAAGTGGCCCTCCGAGGTCTTGGAGGGTGGAGGTTTATTTCACACTGGCGGGCACAGAAGAGGGTGATCTCCAAAGGTATGAGCCCTGAGTACAGCAGGGCCACGCCTTCTATACATTTA